CATTTAGCTTCCTACATTTTTTCTTTGATGCAGAAAAAAATTCTTTGTTATCTGTTCGAACTCTCAGTTTGCTTCGTACATCTCACTTCTGATTAGTTAATTCAGTCTCTTATCTTATCGGATTAATAAACGGGAATATTGTTAACTCAGAGAAAAACGTTTTTGCGGGTTCGTTCGAATATTCCATTCTCATCGACCTAACAATAAAATTGCCAATTTACAAACTAAAAGCAATTAAAAATTATTTTACCCTGCCTTTAAAAATCTGGTTTTAATTTTATGTAACTCATATTAAATGCAAATATCTATAATGACTTTTTGTTTCTCATATAACTTTATTGGTAATGATAAATATGAAAGTTTAAAGATATTCGATAATAGCTACATTTTGTGTATATAACAATTTTTTGAAAAAAGCGAGCATTTCAACAAGCAACGGAATTATTATGGTGTTAAAATATACATATTGTTCCGTTAGTTTTAAACAGAGAGAGAGAGAGAGAGAGAGAGAGGGGGAAGAGAGAGACAGACAGACAAACAGAGAGAGAAAGAGAGAGAAAGAGACTTTAACAAAGTCGAGTTATGTAGTTATCTATCTGTTATCAAACTGTAGTTATCAAGATAAATATTTTTAATATTAAGAAAACTTCAAACACTGCGAGAAAATCTCGTGGTCTGATTAAGTTACGAGAGAGGAAAAGCAGTTTCAGTCTTTGATAAGAAATATCGCACTGATCAAACGCGTTTACTATTGAACACGTTGTACACGTAACTGAAATTCGCCAAAAATGCAGTTTCACAACTTTAGCATTGCAACGACGATATGCACGTTCCCCAATAAGAGCGCGTGCCGTTCGCGTCTCTTTCGCGAAAGACTGCCGACCAGACACGTTTTGCTTCTTATACTTCGCAAACTGGATCGTATGTTAATCGACCGTCCCAGATGTGACGCAATGTAATGCACTTTCTCCACAACCTAGTGCAGCGGTTTCGGCGACGCCCGCCTAGTTTACATTGCAAGCTTAATAATCATGCACTACAATTATTTGCAACCGATTATCCTAATAATTACAAAATCGAAAACATATTGTGGAATAAAATGATATATATACAATATATTATCATATAAAAATAAAGCTAAAATAAATTCAAATAAAAAAATTTCTAAAATTGTAATATAATAGCAATATATTGCATATATTTAGTCAACTTTTTGTGTGCACAAATCAATTTGATATAATATTTATAAATTTACTACAAGATGACGTATATTTTTCATTTATATATATATACATTAAAGTATGCACGTTAGATTTTATTAAATAATTTGACAGAGAATACTATGTAAGGCAACTAATCATCTGGTTTCCTGGCTACGCAGGAGCTATCTACCAAGAATAATTAACTTGCGTTAAGTTAACGTTAAGAAAAAAATCCGATAACTATGAAACGTGCATCACATTTTTTCGAGCAGACATTTTTTCGGTCGCAAAAAATCTAGCACAAGTACAGCGAATCTATTTGTAGAATTTATCGATATAATCTGACACAAATGCAATCTTAGCTTATCTAATAACATATTGTGCGAAAAAATTCAACTATTAGAAAACAATTACGTCATCTGCTAAGAAGTTTTGACAAAGTTACGACAAATTGATACTTTAATTATCCAATCCTAACAAAAATAAATTCTGTTGTGATTACGAGCAAAAAAATGATATCGCGAATAAAAAAAATGCTTTGCAGTAAAATTGCACATCATATACCTACGCATTTTTCCTTACTACACAGTTGTAATATTTCTCGAGTGAGATACTATATTTCGCAGAGAGGAAACTATTCACTCGGTGAGCGATTGTCATGAGACTTTCTTATGTCATTGCAATTGTCGAGATAAAGTAGATAAGAATTAATGTGCGCCTGCGGGCTTGCAGTCTGATCTAACATCATCATCGCATGAATAACATAAAAACATGTCCCTGGAATTATATTCAATATTAAATTTTGATAAATAGTAATCTTATAATAATCTTATATCAAAATTAAAGCTAAATCAATTAATTACTGAATTAATTTGATGTTAATATATACAAACCAGTTTTGTTAATATAATAGAAACCCACGATTTATGTATATTATTTAACAATATTGACTTTGCAAGCGAATACTTTAACGAAATTATATATTAATTGACATCATCATGTGTACATTATTTAATCAAATTATCGTAGATATTAAACAAACTATTAATCAAGTTTATTATTAATTTAATTTATGACAAAAATTAGTGTAACGATTAATCTGACGTATTTTCTTAACGTTTGTGTAAATCTTTCATATTTACATATAAAATATTTTAAATTCCTTTTAGAATTCACAGATTCTTCGATTAATCTAAAAACAATTTTTTTTGTATAACGAGAATTTCATGAAACGGCTGAAATAGATGTTTCCTCACAACTTTCCAATTCGATTTTAAATATCTTTTTAACTAGCTGTAGAATAAAAATTCTATTAAAGCAAACTCGGGCAAAATGAAATGGAGAGAATAAAACTTTGTTATTTATTCTGATCTTCCCGTGTGATGTATTTTTTAAACTACTCCTACAAAATTTTTAATGTGTTATATTATAACTACTACGATATTTTCTTTAAAGAAATTAATCCCAAGTGCGAGTCAAAAAGACAAACCTATTATGCTTTTGTTCTTTATTGTCGTTATTTATTTTCGGTATTGATATCAATTTGAAATACTGTGCTGCGAAAAGCAAAAGAAATATCCACGCATAGAGATACGCTTATTCACCTTCTTATTCACTTCGTTTCTGCATGTGTATTTTCTTTAGAACGAGTTTGCGTCTTTTTATCTACTTTAACTCTTACTCTCTGTCATTTGCGTTATATCATCTCTGACATTTTATATAATGTGTTTGTCCTCAGAAATATCTCTGGTACACAGAATATAAAATACTTTCCGCTACTACTATCGCAAACTAACTGCTACTTCATGTACTCTCGCTCTCTCATTTCGTTCCTGTACTTTGAGAAATCGCGACCGATCGCGTCATGTCGATCGCGTAATCAGCGCCAATAATCAACGATCGTTTAACAGAACTCTCCATTCAGGAGACAGTAATCCGCACCACCGCTGGACCCGGTGCACGCCAGATCGGCCAATAGGCCACGACCATATGACCCGTTCAGTCCCGTCGGATCGAGCGAGCACGCGCACTGCCGCGCACGGCACGTTCTCGCCGCGGTATTCTAACACGTGCGTCCGCAATTCCGCGAGTCTCTCCCTCAGTATCATTCGTGCGACCGATAAGTGACTCGGGCAGTTCGCTCACGCGTGCAGACAGAGTACCTCTCGTGGATTGCAAACGCCGAGACTCGTCGAGGGGAACGACACGACAATAGTGAGAAGGGAAAAATCCGGTGAGTCCTCAAAACTACGTATTGACAATTTATTTTACATTCGACGTGAATTCGCCGCTACGTGAATACGGGAAGCCGATCCTTGCGCGCCTGTTCGCGCGCGATCACCACGTGCGCTTGGAATGCACGTCGCGCTCTACGACGTCCGACTCGCGGTTAACGGTATTCGACGGCGAGAAACACAGTCTGCGGGTAACGGCGATGGGTGTTTACGCGAAAACCGCGTGATAGTGATGGAGAATCTTTCGTTCGGAAAACGGCGCACGAATAATTGTCCGCGTGCTATCAAAGATAAATTGAGTTTCATTCCTTATCAATTCCTTATCTTCATCTAGTTTTAGACGCTAGAAAAAGACGGAGTCGTTCAACTGAGAAGACGAAGCCGACCGTTATTGGCGTCAAGTGATCTTTAGTATAGGTTATTTTTCAAAACAGGAAAATAAACATACACAGTAATTCTACAAGTCGATGTTACGCACATGTTGATTTTTACGAATGATCTCACATGATTGCAATTAATATTCTCACACTGGTTGCCAGTGTCTCTTGCTTGAAGGAAAAACGGCATATAAACATAACTGCCCGTGCTTGCAACAACGTAATGCTCCGCCGAAAAGAAATTCACGATTTTTGATTCGTAACATATGTTCCGCAATATCTAAACTACCACTTTATACGCGATCCAAGTAAACAACGCTGTTGCAGTGACGCTTTTTATCGTTCGTGTAAAATGCATCTTGAGTGATTAGATATCGGTTAGATCGTGTAGATTTTCCTGTTCGACTGTAGAAAAACACGCAAAATTTCACGCAAGCGAGTATCTCATACATGTTTAATAAATTATACATATTACTTTAATTATAGATAATATTGGACAATTAATCATTGGATGAATTTATCGCGATTTGAATTTCAATTTTCGCGATATGAATGTAACAGGAATATCTTATATCTTATTTATTTGAATGTAACCTTTGAGTTTTTGCCGTGAACAAGGTAAACATACTAACGTCTGGTTTCGTCGACTTGTTTCTTCGACCTCTACACGCTCGATCGGCGAGTTTGTCAACTGACACTAATGCCGCGACAGACTGCTACGAATGTGTGAGACAGATGAAAATTCTTTAACGAAAATGTTTGGTAATCTGCGTCAATAAATAAGTTTATTTTTCAAATTTTTCACGAAGCAATCAACAAATAAACTTGTAATTAAAAAATATTAACGCGTTATTTAACTTGAAGAAAAACATTCATCTGAAATTTGTTCGCATTTATAAAATTATTGAGTGAACGACTCAATTCCGAATATTTACGCTAACAGAATATTGATTATTTATTTAAGCGTAATTAAAATATTTAGAAAGTGTATAGCGGATGCGAATCCCAAATGTGTTAAAATATTTAGGATACATCGCGTTCTCATCTTGTGCATCTTGTTATCAGTGCGTTGCATGAACAGGAAAACGGTCTCAGCGGCCGGAATTCGTATGCGCGCGCGCTATCTTGTCTTTTGTCGGCATGCGAGAGGAACATCCACGTGGCCGCGGAAGGATCGTCGATTGTCATTCGCGTCGCGACTACATGAGGAGACGAATCTCTTCTCCGCCGTTTTCGCTTTCGTTTGCACGCGTTGCGCAATCCTTCGCCGCGTATCTATCGCGAATCCAGCGTCACAATTTTTAATCGTGCACTTTACGTGTCGTGTTCTATCGTCGGTGTATCTGTATCACAGCACTGTGATCACCTCAGCGAAAGAGAAGCGGAGCGTGTTACGCAAATCTGGGTAGGAAAGCATCTCTCACTTTTTCTCATTATAATGCATCGCGAACATGCTCGATCGCGTGTACAAAGTGTCTCAAAATTGTCGCGAAAAGTCTATTTTTATTAGCTGTGTACATATTCTTTTTTCTCCTCGTAATGTCAGCTTGTTTTACTCGTAAAAACTCATTTAAGATAAATTCAATACCCGGATCGTTAGATTGCATTTTTTATTCTATTAAAATATAATTATTCTTGATGAGAATTTCATTGTATTTACTTTTTTCAACAGACATTTTTAATATCAAATGTGTTAATAATTAGATTCCATTGGATTTAAAATCAATTTTATCAGAATTAACCGTCGAATATTCCTTAGTTTTTATACGTGATGTTTAATCTACTTGAGGTATAGAAGCTATCGATTCCCCTACATTTTGTAAAGAAAATTGATGAAATTGATTGAAGAGAGTTTAGAGATAAAAACGCTGGCCAACTTCGACACACGCTTCTCTTTACATTAATAACATTAGTTGGATTTCTTATGTTGCATGAAATATTGCATTTTCTCATATCTGAGTAGTTTTCATTGCAAAATACGACGTATGACGCTAATCATGATGTCATCTCTAGAAGCTTCTATGTGGAAATTGTGACGAATATGCATTCGTTGAAAATATTTTATGTGATATGAAAATTTGAAATATGGACGTTTTTATAAATATCTTGGTCCTCGTAAATAATAGATCAAATAAGAATCGATAGAGATTTATTTTGTAACATTGAAAATTTCTAATCTTCGAAATTGATATATTTATTTTTATCTTTAACTAAATATTAATTTTAATCTTTCCTATTGCATATTTAACATATTTATTTATAACGACAAATCACACTATGGAAATAAAAAAGCATAGAAAGAAAATTAAAAAAAATGCTATTCCACAGATTCGATATCCAATTTCATCGAAATAACTTTGTTTGCATTCATTTATTCACCTGGGAAATCTAATTTTGTCATTCGCGGAGAATATTTTTTCATTTTCTCTTACCGGTCTCAGATAATTCGAATTTCGAGATGTATCGAGCAGTTTTACACAGACGTCGGAATACGTGAAAATTTGTAGCACTTTTTGGACGCGAGTCAAAATGGTTGAAATGAAAATTTGGTATCGTTATAACGCGTATGCTCCAAACGGTGTCTTGATATTATTAGTCTTCAATCGGGCGATGTTTACATTCCCGCAGAATGTACTGTAAGCCTCAAGGCCGATCGCGACAAAGACTTGTTATCTATCGATCATATGTTCAAATGAAAGCGACCTTGTAGGAAACTTTCTCTGGAAATTCAAATGCTTAAACGTTTGATTCTGAAATTTATCAAAAGACTGAATCGCCGCTCAAACATTTCTGCAATAATTATCATTAATAATAAAAATAAATATAAAGACATAATAGTTGAATATATCTAATTAATATTATGATAATAGTATTTTTATTATATCTGTTTCCAATAAAAAAAGAGCATAGCTTGTAATTTTCTTTCAATTAAAAAGTACGTTTTTGTTATAGGATTCTTTATCAAGCATTGATAATTTAAAGTAAACATTATCGTTTTGTATCTGCTGGAAAGATTATTTTTATTTTCGCGTGTTTATCTCTCTCTCTCTCTCTCTAAGTCCAGTCATTGTAACCGGGGAGTCTCTTAAATCTCGTCGCCCTGGAGTTTCTTCGAGGTATAAAGACGACGCTGGAGAAAGAGGCAATCAAGGCGAGATAAGAATACGCGAACGTTTGTGCTTTTCAGGAAAGTAGCTCCGTTGAATGATGGTGTCCTCGACAATGACAGAAAACGAGCAAGTGTGCCCGGTGAAGAAACCGTGCGCGGCGGGCATTGCACCGGGCGATTATTGCCTGGTCGGCTGGGATATGGACACCACCGGCAAGAAGGTCATCGATGAGATCTGCCAAATAGCCGCGTACACCCGCAGCACCACTTACTCGCAGTACGTGATGCCGTACAAGGATCTCAATCCGACCGCCATAAAGCGTCACAGTATGAAAGTCGTGACCAATGGCAAATTCCGCGTGCTCAGAAACAGTAAGACCAACGAGGTACGGATATCACAATCGCGATACTAGATATATATATATATCGATAATCTGTGGTTTCGCGCAAGAAAGAAAAAAAACTATTAGAAAGCGTCGACTCTTACAATTAGTTCATATTTTGAAAAGAAGGAAAATTTCTCATTCCCTCATTTTTCTTATTCATTTTTCTAATTTCTTTTTTTCATTTTTCTTTGTTTATCTATACATGTATAATGAATAATGTGTCTTCGCAGGTAATCAAATCAAAAAGCGAAGTGTCCGCGCTGACGGAATTTCTGAGCTGGCTGGAGTCCGTGAAGGGAAACACGGACGGCGTGATTCTGGTTTATCACGAGCCACGCAAGGTCATTCCCGCGATGCTGCTCGAGTCGCTAAAGAAGTACGATCTGGTTGACCGATTCAAGCAAACGGTGAAGGGATTCGCGAACGGGTTCAACATTGCCGAGGAGAAGTGCGCGAACTCGGCGCACATTTACTCCCTTCGTACTTTGTCACGTACGCTGCTGAAAAAGGTCAGCAAATTGTGCTATTATACCGCAATAAAGTAGAATGGATATTTAATAACATCTAAAGCAGAACAATATTTTTTATTAAAAAATTAATCTTTTTTGCTTTTTTCTAAAAGAAATAAGCATTAATATCGATATCCTTCAAATATATAATATATAATTTTCCTCAATTTGAATTATTTGAATTTTAATAGAAAAAAGAATTATTTGCATAATGAAAAATATGTTTGAAGGAAGCGAATTTGGGTAATGCACAAGACAGAGCGTCATTGGCGCTGCAAATAGCACAATACTTGTGTTCGATCGAAAATGGGAAACCGATCGAAGATCCGAGCGATATCGGAGATAGCGATGTAGCTATGAAAAAAGCAATCGAATTCATTCGAGAATTTGCCCAACCTGTTGACATCGAGGAGCAAGAACACGGCAGTACGTACATCATTGAATATAACTTTTATGTAATTTCGAAGATATAACATTTTTTTTAAATAATTACAGTTGCCTCTATTATTAATAATGAAAACATAATAATATGATGCTTAATAATTAATAAAATACTTGTATTTTTCCCAAAAAACAACTAATTATATATATTTTATTTCAAAAAGATTATATGTATAGAAATCGAATAATTTAAGTCCAACAATGTTTGATTGATATTTCTAACGTTAAAGCATAAATCTGCATATATTTTTTACATTTATTATTTCTTTCAAATGTCAATTTGAAAAAAACTTTAACCGTTTAAACTTTATCCAATTTTGTCGTAACGCGGGAACCGAGTTATAAAACGTCGAGATGGGAAAATCAGCGCGATACATAACTTTTGTTGCAGAACTAAAGATGATATTCGAACGGCAGAACAACTTGCGGCCGATATTCAGCGCACTATTCCGTATGAACCGTCGCGAGCGTCAACATGCTAGTCCCCTGCGGCGATTGCTTGCCGAAGCCGGGATCGTGTACTCGGAGCTACAGGTGAGTATCTACATATGATTAATTGCATACTAACAATCGGGAAACCGCTTACACCGAGCAACATCGAACGAAGATCTGTGCAAGCAAAATTGATTTTTTTTTCTAATTTACTATCTAAAAAGCAATAAAATAACTTGCGTTTAGATTATCACACGTTAATAGATGACGAAATATGCAAAGTTTTATGATTTTCTGTTGCTAAAGAGATTTATATAATCGAATAGTCTCTGTATACACTTTAGCGATGGCTTCTGTTATCAAGTATTCGCGAAATGTATGTTTCAGGACGCGTGGACTAACGCGAAGAAGGACGGATTAGAACATTTGATGAAAGAAAAGCTGCCGACAGTCGAAGAGAAAAAAATGGAAGATCTAATGACAATCCTCGAGCGTCACTTCGATCCGGAGAAGAAGCCGAAGGGCAGAACGCCGGAGAAGAGAGGCATCAGGTCGAAGAATGAGAAAAAGATAAGCGACGACAAAGAGAATAACAATAAGAGCGACTCGGGCCACGACAGCCCTGACACCACTACGTCCGGCTCGCCAGTGAAAATGAACGACGACGGTGTCGAAATTAAAACGCAGGAGTGCGCCGAACACGTTTAACAATGCTAAGCTTTTACGCAAAGCGGGAGTACTTCGCGACCATTGTGCGTTTTATCGTTCGTAATTTACCGTTTTTGACATACGAGCGAACGTGGATTCTTTTTTGTTGCCATAACGGTTACGAATGACGAAAAATAAAATTGACGACTGACAAGTGACGAACGTAGATTTAGCGTATCAAAATGGAATACGACTGGCCGGACGTTTGCGCGTGTATTTTATGAAACGCCGCTAAATTTATGTTCTTCTATTTAAAAAAAGGAGTCGCGAAGAGACTCACATTTTTGCGGCAATATAGAATAAGCGTGTTAGATATTAAAAGTACGATTGCTCTGACAATCGGACGTTGTTGTGCGTGATCAAGGACGTGTTATTTGTTTTAGTATTGTTCTTTTTTCTTTTTTTTTCTTTTTTTTTCTTTTTGTTCACGCAACTCTTGTTCGTCGGTATCATTAAGATGACATTAGGATTCCTATGACACACCGTCGAATTCAGTTGACTCGAATGTACAAATAACACATTAGGTGACATTTAGTTTGTTGCGCGCAGAGATATTTAATATCGTTTCATAATTTTATACTCATTTGTTTTCTCTCCTTCTCTCGTTTCTTTTTCCTCTTTTATTTATCCCAGAATTCGTACGCTCATGCAAGCGTTCGTTTATAGACTGTTAAGCGTGAGGAGTATGGCCGATGCGGGTTTCGCTACTCCATAGCTTACGAACGTGTACTGTAGTGTGCACCATATTTTCTACTTTTTACTGTGTAAGCCGCGCGCATGAAGCGTGTATGTAGTAGTATTAGAAAAAATATATTTTTGTATCGCCGCGCGATAATACGCCATTTCGTTTCTGCTGTGAGATCTCATTGTATCACGAATAATAAAGATTCCAATTTACTTGCTTTAATTTTATAACATCGTAAACTGGCGTTTATATCGCTAATTATTCGACATAAATACAGTATTTTTGGCGAATTGATTTTCAGAGTTCGCATTTCACGCTGCACTAACGCTAAATATCCTCATTTAATTTCGGATTTTATTTTATACATAAAATTACGTAAATTCCATTGCGAAAATCGCGTATAATATTACTTGGAGAAGTTGAAAACCAACCTACATTTAGCCGTTAAATATCAAACGTACACATAGATCTCGCCATGTAAAAAAGCGAAATACTATCGTCGATTTCTTCTCCGTGGATGTAAAAAAACATAAATACATTTTAAAATATAGATTAATTATTAAGATAATTAAAAACGCTGCAGATAATTAAACACGCGATAAATCTTCGCTACGCAGAAATAGATTTCAAGTTCGTCGAAGGAAAGAAGGTCTACACTCGGTGGAAGATTACTTGATATAAGTATCCTATCTTGCTGTCTGCATAATATTGAACGTAATTTATTTTCTTCACAAAGTATGGCCATTATTAATTACGCCGAGCGCGCGCCACGACGCGTGAACCGCGCGGAGGGCGTGCAGCAAACAAGCGCGGGGTTGCTTTTAAAGGTGCCTCGGTAAAGTTCTTAATAAGCAAAAAAGTCGCCAGTTAACGGAACTCAGCCGCGGGGAGAAAAACGGAATGGAAAGCGGCGGTCGCGCGCGCTTTTCCGCGTGCCTCGCGGCGGGTCCTCCCACCCCTCCTTTCCGTCTCTCTTTGACCGATCCAGAGAGAAAACGGAAATGAATTAAATATACGAGCGGACCGTTGTGCACATCCGCATGCCGCATGCCGCATGCCGAAATGCCGCAAGGCATTAACAAGCAAGGACCGTGCATTATGAGCGAAATTAAAGAAATACTTCATCTCGGTGAATGTATAACGCGTAATTTTGTCATTTCGGAGGCGACAGATACGCAGAATCCAATTGACCTGCGCGAATGTAACGCGTTTGACTGTAAAATTAAGTTTCGCCACAACAATCGATAAAATAGTATTTTATAACCTTGTACACCTTTCTTCCAATTCCATAAAATAGATATAACTACGTTTAAAAGTTTGATGTCAGATGTTTCGTTCGTAAGCTGTCCTGGAAGCTCAATCTTAATTTCAGTGTTCTATCAATCAAGCTTTCAACCGGAATTTTAATTTCGAACCATTGTGAATCTGGCCAGTTTTATAAAATATGAAAATAAATAGTATAGCTTATTTGTATCATACTTTTTTTCTTTGTACCTCAAAGGGTTAAAAATTATAAAGGAGTTAAAAAATGGTCAGCATATTAAACTATAAAATATTTTTATTTTATTAATATCATTCGAAAGAGCATCGTTTGTACGAAATATCTCCGAACTCTTTGAAGTGCAAACGAAAATCAAAGTGGTACAAGCGAATTTAAACTTATAAAAAGTTAATTAATTTGCTTATATATGTTTTTAGATAAAACGGATTGGCAGAGAAAAATAATGTATATGTTTCCGCTTGGAAAATAGGTTACCCAGATAAGGGATGAAAAAGATGAAAAGCGCTTACATATTTCAAATTATGCAAATGGCTGTTGAAAAATTAATCTTATCACTGGCTACTAACAATAACATTATTTAAATTATTTTTTTCAAATTAAAAATTGATAATTATACACATTTATAACATCTTCGAGTAAAAAAGTAAAAACCAATGATTTTGCAATTGTGTTGTGGAGCAGCGATGTATCGCTGCTCGCAAGAAAAGAAACATGCCTGAAGCGTGGCGTATGATCATGTTAGGCTATCAGGATGTATTATCCTCTCGACGGAAGTTCTCTCGACAAGGAGCTCCGTCGCATCCACCGGAAATCGGCGGCGACCCGGTGAAGCGTGAAATGCCAACTTTTATCATCTTTCGATAGCCGCCTCAATGGCTGTACGAACCCATAATATACAGTAATGATATAATAGCGGTAGCCAGAACATTTCCAGCGACAAAACGCAATGTGGAATTCATAAAGAGAATCCCGTATTATAACAGTTCCGCAAACCATACTTTTATATACCGCAGTGGTATTTTAAGCTAATATGTTCTTCAATAGTTTTCATATCGTACTTCTGTGTATGCTTCTAGAAAATTTTTCTGTTCATTCTGTCCAATTGTCGTTTCTTTTATCCAAAACATTTTTTTTTTTTCAAAAAGAAAATTTATACAAAAATAATGAATAATAACATTTTGACTTTTTTCAACTTCAAATTAGAAAAAAATTTCTCTTCTAAATATATATATAAAACTAATAAATTAATATTAAATTAAATTGTCAATTAGCTGGTCATTTAGATGGTTCTTTTATAATAGCGTTATTATGTCTTTTATCTTTCTCGATCCTGTAAGTGGCATGAATGAAAATAAACGACATTTCCAACGACCGAAGTCGATGCACTCGCGAACGTAAAGCGGGCGTGAATTTCGAGCGATTAATCTCGGACGCGATTACGCGATCGCGTAATTTCGTTGTTGCTCCGATCGAAGCGATTATTGACGTAGACATTAATTGCTGGGTTTTAGGATTAACGTATTGATATTAATAATTGAATCTATGGGGATTTTGCGGAGGCACCGTTAATTAACGAAAACCTACAATTAACACGTGCAGGTACGAGTCGCTATTACTGCCAAATGTGCACATGTAATGCTTTATCTCATTTAACGATAATACTAATAATGAAATTATCGGACGCGTGATGGTGCGCGACATGAAAAAAAATTTAGATAACGAACGAGATTCTCCGGACGCGCGGGGCACGCGTAATCTAACCGATAAGTAATTAGCATATTACTGTGTTTTTCTTACGCTCATTTGCTACGCGTCATTATTGCGCAATGCTTACGACCCGTCTTCCTTCGTAATTTTGCACGCACTCGTGTGCAATTGTGCAGTCTTGGATGCAAATTTCCTTTACAGAAAATTATATCGCACGCTCATTGTTACACTTAAGTGTTGAGTGTCTTTGACATCAGGGAGAACAGCCGGAAATGACACACACATTGGTTTTGTTTAACATTAAACAAACGTTATACAAACAAACATCGTTAGCAGTGTAATATTCTCGCATTGTTGCACGTTAGTTTCAAAATTCTGACTGGAGATAAGACAAAGTCGCAAGCAAACAGCTTATTTTAAGAAAAATGCCTTTATCCTCTTGTGTAGAAATTTAAAGCTAATTAATTTATTAATTATATTAATAATTAATTGAATAAATTTAAAAAAATGTTACACACGATAAGAAATTGTCAATTGCAAAACATATTTCAATATCTTTTGAAATATATTTTGTATCCACTTTCCAGCTATCGTCCCAATTATTATTATAAAAATTATTAATCTATGCTGTTTACGGAAAAAATCGATGCAAAAAATCTACATCCGTGACACTTGACAAATATTAAGATATTGACTTTTTTCTTGAATAAATAGTGTTTGTAGCAAGTCTCGCTGATTGTGAGTGTGGGAAGGTTTGCTTTGAGATATCGATTTGTTTGCTAAACAACGTAAAAAGACCATCGGTTTAATTCTTTCCCTGCATAAGACGATAATTGCGTCCTTCGAGAATAAAAATGAAAAGACCCAATGAGCTTCTGTGTGTCGGTGCCGAGAAACGCAGTAGTATATGTATATCGATACATTGCCGATACTTGGATAATATACCTATAGGTTTTATCTGCTCGCGTGCGGACGCGATTATCGGACGATCGCCCTTCGTCCTGTTTAATTTCTTTTCGCGAACGGCCGAGCGTGGCGAGCAAAATAGCCACGGCTCGTATCGCGATCGCCGCTGTAACAGGCGGCGCGAAGGAAATTGCCGCGTCCGAGAGGCTACCTTAATTGATAATAACGCGCGCGCAGCGCCGAAGCTATCGGGATAATTAATGACACGCTGGCTAACCGCTGCACCGCGACCGTAGCCCGCTTTCGTTAGCTCGCTTCAACAACATAGCCGCCTAATGAAAGGAAAGAGAGACCACACGAAGCAATCGCGATTCCTTCCCCAGATATTGTGATTATGGAGATATGGTGATTATCCCTTTGTATGCGAATGTGTTAAATAGAACAAAAATTATAACTTTTGCAATTTTGATAAAAAAAGCTAGATTATTTTACGCTTTCTATCATTTCAGCCATTTTTATTATTATCAATTATTTGATGGATTATGTGATATCTGTTTATATCCGATGCTTTTTGCGTAATTATTGTTGAAATAAATGATAGCGGAGTTCGAGTAATATGTGGTGTGTGACATTTGAATACAAATTTAAAATTTGGTAAGATAAAGTGATAAACGGGGATACATACATTTTTAATCACATATTGCAAATGTAAAAATCAATATAAATCGACGCAGTTTTTTTTTAAATTTGCGATAACGCCCGAGGGCACTTCAGAAAAGAGAACATCTCATCGCTCATATGGATGGTGTTATGCAAAAATGAGTTTGCTCGAGTAGTCGTTTTGATTTCAAATTAAATGCAAAATTCGTAGTACGGATTGTTCTAGAACCGAGAACCTCCTCTTCTCATTTTGTAGATCGACTGATTTTTAATAACATCGCTTACATGTGTGATCGATATTGTCAAATATTCAGTGAATGGATTTCCCTATATATCTCGCAATTTAAACGTGTCGGCTCTGTGCTTTCGAGATCGCGAATTTTTAATAAAGCACATGAGACAGATTTTTTCCCCTAAGTTAAATTAAAAACAATAATTGAAGGAAACGAGAATGCAATAACACTCATCTTAAAACGAGCTCATAGTAGTATAATGAAAACGTGGCCTTTGAAGTATTCCTGTAAATGTAACGCTGTCTCAAGCTCTTAAAACAAGACTGGCTCATTTATTTTAATGGTCGCGAAAAAGGTTTCACAATGATATTTTGTTCAATATTTTAAATAAACATTGAATTCAAACATCACAATTTAAACAATCTTTCTTTCAAAGTCTTTTTTTGTGAAAAATAAAGGAATTAAAAAAGAAGGTACTCTTTACAGATGGAAACTGGATTGAAAATGGTGAGAACTCGCGGTTCGAACGGTTTGTCATTAATATCTGTTATTTGTCCATCACTTTTTTTGACGATTACGGGGGGAATTGTTTACTTGCACAAATAAACGTGCGCATAAAACGCAGAAAGTGGAATGGTCAACAAATGTATTTATTTACGTTATAAACTGAGGTATCGAAAGCGATCGTTGTCTGTGCACACAATCGCAACGCCATTGCACGCTTTTACACTGATTAATACAATAGTTGATAGGCACGTACGAGATTCGATATCAATTGCGAAGAGCGTAGAAACCATATGAGTAAATTAAATGCTTTTGCGTCGAACGCGCGAGAGCACGCAAAATTTATTCTTTTTTTTTTGTTTCAATAAATAGATAATTAATTAAAACAAACGAATAACTAGATTCGTTATACGTTACTATCATGCAAACATAAGTTTATACAACGGCTATACTGCAATGCGCTCGGAAGAAAAGCAATATTCCTTTTATATGAAAATATTAAAAAAGTACATTATCTCGGAACTTTAGCTAACGGTCCGGTGCTATTTTGCATTTTGCGGTTTCCGTCGTTAGAAAACACCCTATTAGAATCCATCACGGTCAACGCGCTCTTGTCGAATTCGCGGCAACGAACGAATCTTACCGTAACAGCCGCAAGAAAAAGTACAGAGACGCGCGGATGTAGCGGCGAGGTCAGCGGTGCGCGAGCGAGGAGGCCGTTTTTGCGACGCCTCGGACGTCTTTTCCGCGATCTCGGCGGTTCCGCACGCGCTCGCGGAATTCCGCTCGCCACGGCTACATCGACTTCCGATCGCCTTTCGCCCGCGCACGCTCGCACGCTCGCAAGTTCACGACTAACACATAATTGTTAGCGCCTCGTGCTGGCTGTTACGTCGATGTCGATGTAACAGCGCGTGCAAGCGTTACGGACCAT